ATTATATTAGGGCTGCACGCAGCTCTAATAGGATTCTATCAGAGGTGGACGCAGCTCTAGTTGGAGTCTGGTAGAGCTGCACGCAGCTCTAGTAGTATTCAATTCGAGCTGCACGCCGCTCTACTACCACTCTATCAGAGCTGCGCGCAGCTCTAGCAGGATTGTATGAGAGCTGCGCGCAGTCCTAGCAGGATTATCATATTGCACAGCTGTGCTCTAGAGCTCGGGCATCTTGATTTTCGTCGTGGTTCGTGGTTCGTGGTGGTTTGTCCCCCTCGGCCCCGCCCCTGAGCTTGGGACCCCCCCCTCCGCCCAGGCTTCCCAGGGCAGCCCCCCTGGGCCGCGGAACTCTTTTTATTTTCGTTTTGGCTGGTGGTGGTGCGTCCCCCTCGGCCCCCCCCCCCTGAACCTGAGCCCCCGTTCCCCTGGGCCACCCCCCCTTGGGACCCTCCCTCCGTCCAGGCTTCCCAGTTCCCCTGGGCCCCCCCCCCCTTGGGACCCCCCTCCGTCCAGGCTTCCCAGGGCAGCCCCTCTGGGCCGCGGAACCATTTATTTTCGTCGTGCCTCGTGGTGGTTCGTCCCCTTCGCCCCCCCCCCCTGGGCCTGAACCCCAACTCCCCGGGACCACCCCCCCTTAGGACCCTTCCTCCGCCCAGGCTTCCCAGGGCAGCCCTCCTGGGCCGCGGAACCCTTTATTTTCGTCGTGACTCGTGGTGGTCTGTCCCCCTCGGCCCCCCCCCCTGAGCTTGAGCCCCAGCTCCCCTGGGCCACCCCCCTTGGGACCCCCCCTCCGCCCAGGCTTCCCAGGGCAGCCCCCCTGGGCCGCGGAACCCTTTATTTTCGTCGTAGCCCGTGGTGGTTCGTCCTCGTCGTCCCCCCCCCCCTGAGCCTGAGCCTGAGCCCCAGCTCCCCTGGCCCACCCCCCCTTGGGACCCCCCCTCCGTCCAGGCTTCCCAGGGCAGCCCCCCTGGGCCGCGGAACCCTTTATTTTCGTCGTGGCTAGTGATGGTTCGTCCCCCTCGGCCCCTCCCCCCCTGAGCCTGAGTCCAAGCTCCCCTGGGCCACCCCCCCTTGGGACCCCCCCTCCGCCCAGGCGTCCCAGGGCAGCCCCCCCTTGGCCGCGGGACCTTTATTTTCGTCGTGGCTCGTAGTGGTTTGTCCCCCTCGCCCCCCTCCCTGAGCCGGAGCCCCCGTTCCCCTGAGCCACACACCCTTGGGCCTCCAGTCCTTCGCAGCTCCTTTGTGCAAGAGCCAGGGCACGCGTGCCACGTGTTCGAGCTGGACGCATCTCTAGTAGGATCCTATCAGAGCTGCACGCAGCTCGAGTCATATTCTATCAGAACTGTACGCAGCCATCGCAGGTTTCATGTAGAGCAGCACGCAGCTCTAGTCATATTCTATTCGAGCTGGACGCAGCTCCGGTAGGATTCTAGTAGAGTTGGACGCAACTCTAGTAGGATTCTATTCGAGCTGCACGCAGCTTTACAGTATTAAGATTCGATTAGAGCTGCACGCAGCTCTAGTCTGAATCTATTAGAGCCAGACGCAGCTCTAGTAAGATTCTCTGAGAGTTCGACGCGGCCCTCGTAATATGCCATTCGAGCTGGACGCAGCCCTAGTATGGCTGTATTCGAGCTGGGCGCAGCTCTAATAGGAGTTTATACAGCTGAACGCAGCTCTTGTAGGATTCTATTAGAGCTGCTCGCAGCTCAAGTGGGGTTATATTAGAGCCGCACGCAGCTTTAGTCAGTTTCTAGTAGAGCTGCACGCAGCTCTGGCATGATTCGGTTAGAGCTGGATACAGGTCCAGAAGATTTTCCATTAGATATGGACGCAGCTCTAGTAGGATTCCATCTAATCGGATTCTAGTCGGATTGCACGCAGCCCTCGTAGGTTTCTTGTAGAGCTGCACGCAGCTCTAGTCGGATTCGATGAGAGTTGGACGCAGCTCTAGTTTGATCCCATTCGAGCTAGACGCAGCTCCAGTAGGATTCTATCAGAGCTGCACGCAGCTTTTAGCATCATGCTTTTAGAGTTGCACGCAGCACTAATCTGATTATATCAGAACTGGGCGCAGCTCCGATAGGGTTTGTTTGGAGCTGCGCGCAGCCAGCTCTAGTAGGATTCTACTAGAGCTTAGAGCTACACGCAGCTCGTGTAGGATTCTGTCAGAGCTGGACGCAGCTCCTAGTAGGATTCTAGTAGAGCTGGACGTAGTTTTACTGGGATTCTAGTAGAGCTGCTCGCAGCTCTAGCCCGATTCTAGTAGAGCTCGACGCAGCACTAGTAGGATTGTATGAGAGGTGGGCGCAGCTTTAGATTCGATCAGAGGTGCACGCAGCTCGAGCAGGATTCTATGATATCTGGACGCAGCTCCAGCAGGATTCTATTATAACCGCGCGCAGCTTTAGTAGGTTTCCTTGATCGCTGCACGTAGCCCTAGTCTGATTTTACCAGAGGTGCACGCAGCTCTTGTAGAATGTGGATAGGTATGCTGTAGGAGCTCGCTTCGCTGGCACGCACATTCATGCTCTTTTGAGAATCAAATTGGAAACTTTACTGGGAAATCTTATTGTTTCATTCCGAGTCGCTTGTGGTAGTGTTGGTTGTGCGGTGGCGGTTGCGACCCCCCCCCCTTTCGCAATTGGGTACCAGGGTACCAGGCCCGTCCTATGGCACCCTGCCCCCCCCAGGGTACCAGAAACCCGACCTCGCCTGATTGTTGTTATTGTTGAAGTTGTTGCATTTTCACGTCCGAAGAGCACCGTTGTTGATCCCATCCTTCCGGTAACCATTGTATTCCTTTTAATTCAAAGGTTCCTCCCTGGGCTCGCGTTTTGTTTTCTACAGGGGGAGGTGAAGGGGTCACCAACTGTATCGTTGGGTGCCGAACTACAACCAAAAACGGCTACCGCCTGATATTTCCTCGCAATGTATTCCCAAATCGCGCTCTCGCGCGGGACTTCCTCACAGTGAGTGCAGGAATCGCGATCTCGCGTTGGACTTCCTCAAAATTTACTCAGACCCCGCGCCCTCGACAACGCTCTCGCTGTGGATTTCGTCCCGATTCATTTGGGAATCGCTCGACACTTCCCTGCAATTCACGCAGGACGCACGATTCAGCAACCCGCCCGTCCTCTTCCCTTCCGTCCATCCGTATTCTCTTCCCTTGCCCTCAGGGGCTGCATGAAATACACGCTTCAGGTAAGACAGGTAGTACGATCAAAGACGAAGAGGTTGGGTATCGAGGCTTTGGGACAGACGTGCTGCATGGCACGCGAGCAGATACGTGCTGGTTGTTGATTGTTTGCTGTTGAATGTTGGTTGCTGGTTGTTGGTTTTAAGTTGTTGGTTGTTGTCGTTGTTAGTAGTACTGTTGTTGGTGTTGCTGCTGTTGATGGTGATGACGATGTTGCTGTTGGCGTTGTTGTTGGTGTTGGTGTTGGTAGTGGTGCTGCTGTTGTTGGTGTGATTGCTGATGTTGCTGATGTTGTTATTGGTATTGTTGTTGGTGTTATTGTTGTTGTTGCTGGTGTTCTTATTGTTGTTGGTGGTGTTCTTGTTTGTTGTAGTTGATGGTGACGGTGTTGCTGTTGGTGGTGTTAGTGATGTTGTCGTTGAACTTTTGTTTCAGAATAATTATTCTTGATCCCCCCATCACTGGTGCATACTGTTTATTCTCAATTAAAGTGTGCCCCTCGACGCTCGCACCCTGTTTTTTTTGTCAGGGAAAGTCTTGGTGCTCAAACTGGACCCCTGACCCCCCGGATTACAACAACAACGGCTCCCTCCTGAGACTTCCCCCAAATCTATTCAGGACCCCCGCTCCTGAGACTTCCTCACAATTTACTCAGGAACGGCGCTCCCGCTTGAGACTGCCTCGCAATTGAATCAAGACTTCCTCGCAATTTAATCAAGACCCCCGCTCCCGCCAGAGAACCCTTCACATTGTATTCAGGAATTGCGCTCTCGCTTGTGACTTCCAGACTTCCATGCAATGTTTTCAGAAATCGCGCTTTCGATGCTCAGGAAACACGCTGCGCCAAGGACGCCGTTACAATTTACTTAGTAATCGCGCTCTCGCCATACTCAGGCATCCCGCTTGAATGTCCCACCCGCCCGACCCGCCCGTCAGGGGATCGCCCGCCCGTCGTGGGCTTCCGCCCGAGACTTCCTTCAGGAACGGCGCTTTCGCCTATGACTTCCTCGAACGATCACGCTCTTACTTTCCTGCTCCTCCTCCCTCTCCCTCCTCCCTCCTCTCCTCCCTTCTCTCTTCCTCCTCTCTTCCCTCATCCGTATGCCTCTCTGCCCTATCCCCTCTCCCTCCTCTCCCTCCTCCCTTCTTCCTCCCCTCTCCTGCCTCCTCCCTCCCTCTTTCTTTGTCTGTCTCTCCCCTCTCTCTCTCTTTTTCTATACCTCTCTTATCTGCCTTTCTCTCTCTATCTCTCTTTCTCTCCCTCTCTCTCCTCTCTTGCTGTTGCCGTTGTTGTTGTTGCTGTTGCTGTTGGAGTTGTTGTTGCTGTTGGTGTTGTTGTTGTTGTTGTTGTTGTTGTTGTTGTTGTTGTTGATCTTGTTGTTGTTGTTGTTGTCGTTGTCGTTGTCGTTGTCGTTGTTGTTGTTGTTGTTGTTGTTGTTGCTGTTCTTTTGTTGTTGTTGCTGCTGCTGCTGCTGCTGTTGTTGTTCCTGCTGCTGCTGTTTTTGTTGTCGTTGCTGTTGCTGCTGCTGTTGCTGCTGCTGTTGTTGTTGTTGTTGTTGTTGTTGTCGTTGTCGTTGTCGTTGTCGTTGTCGTTGTCGTTGTTGTTGTTGTCGTCGTTGTTGTTCTGATTGTCGTTGTTATTGTTGATGGTTGTGATGTTGAGGATGCGCGTGGCCATGGTTTTTCCCCCATCGCCACGACGTGGTTATAGCCCTTCGAGGCGCCGCGGGTACGGACGACGGCCTGGCCCAGGATGCGACCGAGCCCGCGCGACGCGCCGCGCGCGCGGCGCCGCGCCGAGGACACCCGGCTCGTCCTCGACGCGAGGGATGGCCGAGGCCCCCGGCCGTCGACGGTGGCGCCGGCGGCGGCGCCGACGGCGGCGGCGGCGGCGGCGGCAGCGGTGAAGACGACGGCGGCGGCGCTGCCCACGGCCGCGGCGCCGGCGGCGGTGGCGCCCGCGGCGGCCGAGCCAGGCGCCTTCGGCCGGAAGTCCTCCGCGCTGCGCCTGCCGCGGGAGACGCCCGACTTCGGGGCGGCGGCCGCGGCGGGCGGCGCGGCGGGCGACGCCCTGGCGCACAGCTCGCCCATCTTCAGGGCCGCGGCGCTCGCGGACGCCCTCTCGGCGTCGGGCGCCGCCGCGGGCGCGGGCGCGGGCGCGGTCGCCCGCCGCCGCTCTCGGCCGCCGCCACGGCCGCCGCCGCCACAGCCGCCGCCGCCACAGCCACCGTCGTCGTCGTCGCCGCCACCGCCGCCGCCGCCGGTGTCGTCGTCGTCGTCGTTGTCGTCGTCGTCGTCCTCGTCGTCGTCGTCGTCGTCGTCGTCCTCGTCGTCGTCCTCGTCGCAGCCGCTCGACCTCCAGGCGGCCTTCGCGGCCGCCGCGGGCGCTGTGTCAAGAAGGGAAATGCGCCTGGGTGTGCGCCTGGGTGCCGTGGTGCGGGCGCTTCGGGCTCGGCATCGTGGGCGGCACTTCGAAGAAGAAGAAGAAGGTGAAGGGGCACAAGCATAAACTTTCAGGACACGCGGGGGCCATCACGAGGCGACCTGGGGTAGTACCAGAAGAGGAGACAACTGCACAAGCATTTCACTTTCGGAGTTCTGCGCAGATTTCTCGGATCTGCTCCGGAGCCCATGGCGGCGCCTGCGGCGCCGCCCCCTGTCGCGCTTCGCGCACGGGGGAGGGGGTGTCCGTCGCGGATTCAAGAATTCGGTCGGGCCTCCAAAAGTTCATGTTTATGCAGTTGTCTCTTCTTCTAGCACTACCACATGCCGCCTCTTCATTGCCCACACATGTCCCAGTCTGCTGCTGTCTGCGGCGTAGTGGAAGGAGGCACGGTCAAGGGGGAGGAGGAGGGCAACGCTTGGGGGAGACAAGCTCAGGAGGGGACGCATCGACTCCCTTTCGCCCATTCATCGCCGATAGGGGCCCAACAGCCCAGCACTCTCAGGAACGTGCAGTTTTCGTTATCGAAGGGCTATCGCCGATTTGTCGGTGGTGTATCGCCGATGCCAGCTCGATGTTCCCCCCTGAGCACGCCCCCCCTTATCGTTCCCTATCAGAGGAGGATTTTTGATCCAGACCTGACACGTGGGGACCAAGGTCACAGGATCACGCCACATCGCAGGTGCATCGGCGATGCGGCTCGATCTGGAGTTTGATTTCTCCACGCCGATGTCGCAGATGCATCGACAGCGTTGGATATGCTTGTGATGCGGCGCGATGCTCCGACCCCATCTACTCGGACTTAATTTGGGAAGCCTCGAGAGGAGGAGGAGGAGGAGGAGGAGGAGGAAAAAGAGGAGGGGGAAAAGGAGGAGGAGGAGGAGACGGAAGAGCCCTAAAGGGTTTGTCCGTTGTTTGGATCCTGCGAGCCTGGATCCCTCCTCGATCCCAGACCTCGACTCCTCATGCGATCGTTTTCTTATTCATTGTTTTGCCGATCGGCGCGGGCCCTCGCCTTCCCCCCCCTTCCCTGGAGTAGATCTTGGCTGTTTTGGGCGCCTGTTTCGAGCAGGTGGAGTCCCCCCGCCATAGGACGCACTGTTGCAAACAGTCGCACTAAGCAGAGGTCTGGAGCCAGACCCCCCTCTCCCCCTGCCCTTTCCGCCCAATGCCGAAACGCCGAAAAAGAAAGCGCTCACCATCCTGGAACAAAACAGGAGTTGAGCCTCGATCCTGGATCCCTCCTCGACCCACGACGGCGGCAACGGCGATGCCGATGGCGACGGCTACACGACGACTCCCGACGCCCAGCGGCCTCCCGAAGTTTTCGGACTCCCAATAATGACTTTAGGGATGCCCCAGCCCTCGATCTTCTATAACTTGTGACGGCGGCGTCGTCATATACGCTGTCATGTACGTCTTTGCTTACGTCGTCGCCCAGCAGGATGCAACTCCTGGAAGTTTTGCCTCAGCGTCGGCGCTGGTATATTCATGGTCGAGCACGGGCCAAATCCAGTCAGCAGATGAGCCCTCATTCCCGTTGAATCAGGGCTCATCTGGTTCAATGGCGCCTCAAACTGGATCACTAGCCCTTCATAGTTTTGACGAAGAGCCTCCCGGCGAATGCGCCGTCGTCATCGTCGTCATCGGCGGCACGACGTCGACGAGCCGTCGATTACGATCTTCGAGCCTTGATCCATCCTCGATCCACGACGACGGCGATGGTGACGGCCACGACCGACTGCCGACGGGCTCCCGAGGCCTTGGACCTTTTACTCGATCTTCCATGGCTGTGACGGCGCCGTCGGCGTCGTCGTCCTCTACGTCGTCTACGTCGTCGCCTGCAAAGATGCAATTCTTGGGAGGTTTAATTCATGGTCGGAAGCAGGCCCAATCAAGCATGATCCTGTTCCATTCCGCTTCACCCTTCCAAGTCAGATTTTGACCCGGGCTTTTTGTGGGCTCATCTGGCCTGGTGGCATTACAGTCTGGCTTGCTTCAAACAGTGGCGAAGCGTTCTGACTGGCGGCATCCTAACATGCTAATACTGCGTGTATGTGCGTCGCCCCCCCAGGGGCGGCGCGCACACCCAGAAGTGTTCTAGTACATGCGTTGTGGCGGGCGCTTTCTGGCCGTACCGCTCGGGCATTGATGTTTTACAGGATGGTTATGCTAGATGCTCGCGTCGGACGCACGCTTCCGAGAGGGACACGTAGTACATATATATATATATATATATGTATATATATATATATGTGTGTGTGTGTGTGTCTGTGTGTGTGCGTCCCATCCTGGCTCGAGCAAGATTACTCGTGGTCGAAAACGGGCTCAATCCGGCGGCGGCGGCACCGCGGCGGCGGCGGCGGCGCGACGGCGGCGACACGACGGCGGCCCGCCGACGGCGAGCCAGGCCGCCGCCGCGCCCCTCGGAGCGCAGGGCCCGCGGGACACGCCGGTGTTCGGGCAGACCGAGGCGCCTCGCCGCCACCGCGGACGGGGCTCCTCCTCCTCCTCCTCCTCGTCCTCCTCCTCCTCCTCCTCGTCCTCCTCCTCCTCCTCCTCCTCCTCCTCCTCCTCCTCCTCCTCGTCCTCCTCCGCGCGCGCCGCCGGGGGCTTCGCTGATGCACTTCGCCACCGAGGCGCCTCGCCGCCGGGGCTCAATGCAGACGGGGGTCCATGCAAGCGGGGGTCAGCCAGAGCGCCCGATCTCGTAGGATCCTGCAGCGCCGAGGGCGCACCGCACTGAGCCGGGCTTGGGTGCAGGATCCTGCAACATCCTGCAGGATTTGCAGGGTCATGCAAGGCCTCACTGGTCTGGGGCATGATTGACCTGGGTCACAAGGTCCCCGAGGCGCTTCGCCGCCGCCGCAGCCGCGGACGTCTTCGGTCGGCGTCGTCGCCTCTTGGAGGTCTGCTTGCCTCGGGATGCGTTCCGGCAGGGGGAAGTCAAGGGAAGACGGGCTCGGGGGGAGAAATTTCGACGATGTTCCAAGTTCGAGGTGTTCTGACGTTTTTGTCGATTCTCGGCGGTTTCTCGGCCTCGGGATGCGTTCCGGCAGCTGCGCCTCGCCGAGGGCGTTCCGGGGCTGCCCGGATCGTCCCGAGCGGCTGCCGGAGACCTGAGTTGTGAGCCGACAGCCGAGGTCAGGGTCCACGTCGATCCGATGGATCCGATTCCCGATTCGATATTCATTCTTGCCGGCTCGATCCGATTCGATTCCTGTATCCCGGCGATCCGGTGCTCCCCGGTATTTGCACGGCGCCGTTACGGATCTTGGCGCAGCCGCTTCGTTTCGATTTCGCGTCAATCCCGCAGCTCACCCAGAAACGATGGCCAGACGAGTTGCCCTGATCAGGGACGTGGAGGGGCATGCAGTGGAATAAAGGGTCGGGCAAGACGTCGTACCCCACGAGGGCCAAGACGGATGAGGAATCGGAGGGGGAGCAGGAAGAGGAGGAGGAAAAGGAGGAGGAGGGAGGGGGAGATGAGGGAGGAGGAAGGAACAAACATAGGCGGATCAGGAATAGGAGGGAAAGGACGAAGCGGAGGAGGGCGAGCAGAAAAGGCCAGAAGTTTTTTGGGATGCCACTCCAAGTCTATTCGCTTGTTTTTGTTGCTGGAGTTTCGTGGAGGCCTCTCCAGCCGTCTTGGGGATCTGGGGGGGCGCAGGGGCCTCTTGGGGTGTCTTGGGTGCCTCCGAGGGGCCTCTTGGGGCGTCTTGGGGGCTGGGGGCCTTTTGGCGGTCTCTTGGGGCCTCCGGGGCACCTCTTGGGGCCATTTTGGGGCACCATTAGGAGCCTCGGGGGCCATCTTGGGGCCATTTTGGAGGAGATCGACCAAAGAATGGGGGCTCCTTTATGTTGACTTTCTCGTCGAGGCCACCTTGGACGCGCCAACGTCCAAGGCTAGGGGGTAATTAGGGGGATCGGTAAGCCCCTCCCCGAAGGGAAGACGGGAGTTGGAAGAGGAAGCCCGCAAAACCACTGACGCCCAGAGGGCAGGTGGGATTCCAGAAGCCATGCCAGGCAGCTCTTACCATTCTACCACGCCTCGACGCGCCAAGGGGGCGCGGCGCGGTGTTTGGCCGGATCCCCGCAAGTCGAGTGGAGATGACTTGTGAAAATTTGGAGCCAGCTGGGGGTTTGATACCCCCCAGCATTGGCTATGGCGCGCAGGGGGGACGAGGTTCGAGGTTCTGTGTGCGGGAAGGTTTTTTGTCTTTTTCGGCTTCCAGGGGCCGTTATCAGGACCCCGGCACCGTCCAAAACGGTCCGGGGTGAAACATTGCACCAGATGAGCCCATGGGAGGGATCCAGGAACGATTTTGAGCGAATGTTTGCCTTGGGTCCAGCTTCTTGGGTCCCAGCTCAGACCCCCGCGGCCGCCTCCACGTGAAGACCTTCGGGGCACAGGCATCCGCCCTCTCCCGCCGACGCCCATGCATCCTGATGCGTTTTCAGCGCGTGAGGCTCGCCACAGTCGGGCCGGGCGAAAGGGGGGCATTGGGAAAGGGGGGGTTACGAAATCTGCTGCAGGCAGCTGGTGTCGGCCCCACCGAGGAGCCCATTCCTCGATACATAGCCGCCTCCGGCGCTGGGAGGCGCCGGGAAAATCAGCTACGTGAGCTGATTCTCACCCCCCCCCTTTGCTACTCCCCCCTTTCGCCCGACCCGAGAGATCTCCCCAGATTTCATGGCCCCTCTTCTTGTTTCAGTGCGGTCCCTGGCCCCCCCTGGTCCTCGCACATGCCTCGGGCCATGATTTGCACCCCCCCGCCTCGTGGACGCCCCCCTCTTGGAGGCCCCCGCGCGCACACAGAGTCAGCTTCTGCGCCGCCCGTTCTCGCCGCCGCTGCCCGTCGCCGCGGCCCTGAGGCGCCGCCGCAGAGGGCACGCCTGCCGGGGCTCTCGGAGGAGCTGCAGCGCTGGCGCGCGAGTGCCCGCCCGACGTCGTCGTCCTGATGTCTCTCGTCCTCGAGCCCAGATGCCCTCGCGCGGTGGCGAAGTCCGAACCCCACCCTCGAAGATGAACGCTTCAGGCAACTCGAACTCGATGGGCCAGGGTTTCGGAATTCGTCGAACGCGTGGCGAAATCTGTACCTTCTTCCCGCCTCCCATCGATTCAGGAGAATCGATGGTTTGTGGAGGCAGGGTTCGGGCGTCGGCACCTACTCACGTCTCAAGCCGTGGCGGAGGGACCTGGGCCGCCTATACCTGGATGACAGCGAGGGCTGCTTAGGGAAGAAGGGAGGCCCAGAAGTGGATGCGAGGTGGATGATATGTGATCCAGGGCTGCCCACCCAAAGCTACTGGGATCAGGCTTCCTACCCACGCTGGATGAGTACGCCCGTCAGCCTCGCGAAGGCCTCGCGAATGGGATCGCTCCCCTCCCCCTGTGGTCGTGGGCCTGTGGGCGTGGTGTGGCGGAGGATCCCAGTGCCACCCCCTCCCCCTGTGGGTGTGGGATGGTTCGTCGTCGTCGTCTTGCGTTGGCGTCAGCGCCCTTGTCGTCGTCCGTCGGTGTCGGCGTCGGCGTTGACGTCAGCGTCGTCTTCGTTGGCATCGCTGCCGTGGTTGTTGCCCACGCCGTTGTCGTCGTCGTCGTCGTTGCCGTCGTCGTCGTCGCCAACGTCGTCCGTAGCCTTTTGGGCTCAGGATGGTTGATTTTCATGCGAGTCGAGTGGATACCGCTGGTCCGCGGCAGTTCTCAGCAGTTTCGGCGAGCAGTCGCCATGCCATACACAGCAGCCACCTCCTGCCATGGTTCCGCCTCCTCCTCGTGACGGTGGTGGTGCTTTCGGCACAGGTGGCGGCACCTTCATTCGGGAGCCGTGGCGCGCAGTGCGTGCAGACATTTCGGGGGCGGAGTCACCATACGGAGCTGAACCAGATCGTTTCCAACATGACAGTGATCGTGACGATGGGGGCTGGCCAGGCTTCGGGGCAAGACGCAGCATCAAGCGGAGACAGGGCGGTTACGGAGGTGCTGGTGGCAACGCCAGCAGAGGTGAGAATTTGGCGCAACTCCTCGAGCCAGCAGCAGCTTTGGTCGGTGACGGCAGCCAGAAGGAGAAGATCGAGGCGCTCCGAGCTGAAGCGGCGCAGCCCGAGCCAGCCGCACGCGTTCATCAGTCTGGCAGCAGGGCGGCGCTCCGAGCAGCGGGGGATCGAATACAACAAGCACAGAGTGCGCAAACGAAAGCGTATCGGCGACGTGAACGACTCAGGGAGGAGTTGGCACAGGCCTAGAGCGACGTCACGCTACGCAGCGCCGAAAGAAATGGCAGAAGCAGTATCGGAAGTCAAAGCGGAACTTCAAAGGCACGCTCTCTATCATGTCAATAGCGGGGGGGCGGGCAGCACCAAGGCGCAGCGCGTGCTCCCAATCGGCGCGCTCTTGCAGGGCGGGGAGGTGGACGTCGAGTTGGGGGCCTCTACGGTTTTGAATGGGACACCAGCGAAGAGGACAAGCAGGATATCGAGCGGCGCAAGCGGGAGTTCGCGTTGGCGGCGCAGGGAGCAGCCAGGCAGGTTTTCAAACAGGCGGCAGAGCTGCTCAAGAAGCAACGGCAGTTGGAGTTGGAGCTCCTCGACCGAGTCCGCAAGAGGAGGAAGGTGGAGACGGCGGAGCCAGAGGTGCCAGAAGCAGCGCCAGGGGGTGGTGGCGCAGCCGAGCGAGGAGGCGAGATGCGGCTTCATCGCCGCCAACGGCAGCAGGCGCGACGGCAGCAGAGTCGTCGGCGAAGGAGGAAAAGGAGAAGCGCGAGCTCGCCGCCGCTGGGGCTGGCAGCTCGCGCAAAGGGCGGCAGTCGAGGCAGCGGCCCTCCTTGTCCTAGCCGCGCGATCTTCGCGCATAACTTCTCCGCGTGCGGGCCGAGGCTGCAGGGGAATATCGACGCGCTCGAGAACGACGCCATCATCTTCCCAGAGACCACGCGGCGGCGGAAGGGGGCGAACGACATCCTTGAGCACCTCGACGCGAGGGGGTCCAAGGCAGCGGTTACGCCGCCACAGCAGAGTGGGCGCAGCACGCAGGCAGGCGGCGTCGGCATGGCATCGAGGGCGCGTCTCGCATGGATATTCCCGAGGCACCTGGCGGCTCGGGAGGAGCAGGCGGTCGGGCCCAGGCAGCTCCCATGGCCAGTGGCTTTCCAGGACATGGGGGCGCTCAGCTGGGGCTGGAAGGGGCAGTCGATCTTCGCTGCCGGCGTCTACCTGACGTCGTCGGTGGGGATGCGCGGGGGGAACCAGATGAAGATGGCACGCCTCGCGGCCATCACTCGCGCCCACAGTGGGCCGTGGGCAGCGATCGGAGATTGGAACGTCGGGCCGTGGGGGTTGTAGAAGGCAGGGTGGCTGCAGCTCCTCGGGGCGCAGATCAGGGCGCCGCGGGGCGTCGGCTGCGCTTGCGCGCGCGCGCAACCCCGCGCGCGCGCTCGACTACGCGGCGCGCCCGGAGTCTTTCCTGATGACTCTCGACAAGGTGGAGCCGGATAGGCGCGACACTGGCGACCACTGCGGAGCGAGGTTGCGCTTGCGAGGCGGCCCCGGCATCGCGACCCAGAGGATACTGCCGCTTGCCGAGCTCTTCTCGCTGCCGGACTCACCCGAGCGGAAGGCGGGCCCCAACGGCAAGAGGTCCAGGATGAGGGGCAAGGGGCAGTCGGGCATGGGCAAGGGAATAGCGAGCGCTGCGGGGAAAGCGGATCCTCCGCCCTCCCCGGCCCCCCCCCCCATCCAGGCGCGCGAGTCGGTGGCAGCTCGAAGCGCGAGCGCGTCGTCTGCGAGGCTCTCCCCGTCGAGTGCCAGGCGAGGGGCGAGATCAGGGGCCTTTTCGGCGAGAGCAGCGCGAGGGCGACGGCGAGGCGAGCGAAGATTTCGAGCAGGAAGAGCCAAATGAGGACAAGCCCTGCGCTGAGGAGGTCTTCGGCTCGGAGATCGAGGAGCGCGACTGGTGCTAGCAGCAAACGTACCGCGCGGCCGTCCGCGGGGACCGCGTCGCTTGGAGGAGGCCCCCGCAGTGCGCCAGGGATTCCACTGCGCACCACTTCGGCAAAAGTCGGGCCGAAGGGCTTGTGGGCGCAGAACGGCGCGTGGGCGCGCGCAGTTGAGCAGTGCTACGTAACCGTGCTGACGGTCAGCCCCGCTGGTCGGCAAAGCTTCCTTGGGCGTGGAATGGAGGTTCGAATCGCTAGGGGGCGGGCGAAGCTCGGCATTGACGTCGTCGCCGACCTCGACGGGCCCATCAGGTGGCGGGGCACATGGGTGCCCTACTTGGTGGAGCTGCAGCGGCGCGATTATCGAAGACCTTGGGCTGCGCGGTTGCGCGCGGACTGCAAGGGGCCCAGCGGGCCCGCCCCGCGCGGCGGCGTCATCAAGAGGACAGCTAAGCAAAAGAGGAAGCATCGACAATGGCGCCGACGCGATGAGCAACGGGCAGCTGTTGTGCCTTCGAGCGGCTGCCCTCACCACCGCGAAGAAGGGCAAGCGCGCCGAGGTTGGCGAGGCCATGCTGGCGCAAGCCAATTGGGCGCAGGAGCAGGAGGCGGTCGACCACGGCAAGCTGCACCGCAAAAAAGACAAGTTCAGGTGCGACAGCGAGATGCGCAGCGCAGGCATCACCGCGTCGAACATGATGGAGCACATGGATGCCAAGGTCGAGCAGTGGCAGCTAAAGTGGCGGAGCAGCTAATTTCGTCAGGAGCGACGCCCCGCGGCGACTCGAGCGGTCTCGCGAGGTCGCAGGCGAAGGAGACTGGGCGCCGATCACCATTGCGGGGCTCAATCACGCGATCGACACCAAGGTGAAGAGCAAGGCCAAGGGCGTCGAGCAGACGGGGGCGCCAGCTTTCAAGTGGCTCCCGCCGCCAGCGCGTGAGGAGCTCAGGCGCGCCATCGAGGAGGCGGAGCGCATGGGCACCTTGCCGCGGCAGATGATGGTCACGGCGGTCAGCCTACTGAGGAAGGACGCGGGAGGGGACGGAGCGATGGGTCTTCTGCCAAAGGTGGTCAAGCTATGGTCAAAAGGTGCGCAGCGAGTGCGCCAGCGAGTGGGTCATTAGCATGGCGGGCAGGCGCCGCGATCGCGGGCAACAGCGCTCTCAAGGAGGCTTTGGCTTGTTCCTTCTCCGATGATGTGGTGAAGTGGGCGCCCGCGAAGATTTGCACGGTCACTGCTATCTGCTCGAGCAGGTGCACGCGCGCTCGTGGGTGGGCGACGTCGTCGCCAGGAGTGAGGGCTCGTGGCTCGAGGTAGGCAGGCAGCTGGCTGGCGCTGGAGTCAACTTCGCGGCAGGAGTCAAGAAGGCGAGGCTCGCCCTGTCCACCAAGTCGGCGCTGATAGGCAATGACGTGAACGTGATCAGGGAGGTGGCGCTCAAGCTGCATTCGCGGAGGATCACGGTGAAGGCCAAGGGCCAGGCGCCAGACCTGGGCGCCGACAGGAGTCGCCGGACCGTGGGCGGCAAGGGCTGGCACGCCAAGGGGGCGGCGCACGCGGACAGGCAAATTGTCAGGGCGTTGAGGATGGCGCGCAGAGGCAGGCGCGCGCGAGGAGGTGCACACCCGGCGGTGTTGCGAGGGCCCTTGCTTCGGGCTGCCTATTCGTGCAAGGTATTCGGGATGGCGCCGAGCACTGTCATCGAGTGGAGGAGGAGCTAGCAGCCGTCATCGCCCCGAGGTTCTGGGGCAGGTGCCTCGCCGCATTGCTGCGGGTCGAGAATGCGATGGGTGACCCCGCCTTCGGCACCGTTTTCGCGCCGCTGGACTCGCGGCAGCACGTCACCAGCGACGGCATGAGGCGCTGCGGCGCAAGAAGGCCGAGCTCATATGGCCCAGGGTCATGGGGTAAGTGCCGCAGATGGACCCAAAGAAGCTGTGGGAAATGGGTGACTGGTGCCACTAGGGCGATGGCCAACGCGCTCTTGGACACGGGGTGGGCGCCTCGCGGCCCGTGGCACTGGGTCTTGGGCGACGGTGAAGAATGTGGAGGTCCTGATCCATCGGCAATGGGCGGCCACGTCGACGCGAGCGACCTGAAGCAGGCCATGGCGTCGTCCATAGAGAGGGCGCAGTGGAGGGAAGCGGCGAAACACTACGCGGGCACGGGCCTCGAGGAGGGAGCGGGCCGGCGTTCGGCTCGCGCGCTCATCAAGAAGTTTAGGAAGAAGGGCGAGCATGAGATGGTCGGAGGGGCACCTGGCCATCATGGCGGGAGGCGCGCGGCCACGTCAGTACGTAGCTGACCCAGGGATGGACAGAGGACGCACTGCGCCCCATGTGCGGTGGGGATCACGAGACGCGGGAGCACCGCATGTGGAAGTCCGTGCGCGAGGGGATCGGCGACCCCGGCCATTTCGATAGGGTTGGACGGCTCATCGCGGCCGTCGACGCGTCGGGAGGCGAGTGCACGGACGACCCCGGGCTCTGGAGAGGGGCCTGGGGTTGGGTAGTCACCCAGACGCTAACGCGAATGAGCCGACGGTCGTTTAGGCAGCCCGAGGGCTCTTGGAGGCTGGTGGCAGAGCGTCAGCCGAGGAGAGCTGATGGCGCTAAAAGAGCTGCCGGCGGTGCCGGCGGGCTTCCACCGGATCTAGCACGCGGCGAACCCGTCCAGCGCCACGCGGGGCATCATGAAGCTGAAGCAGGGCAAGATGCCCAAGACTCACATCGACATCTGGCGCGAGGTCAAGGCCGCGATGCGGGACATCGAGATGGTCATGATCAACGTCGAGAGCCACCTGGGCGCGAGGGGGGCGGTCGCAGCTAGCGTGGACCCCATCGCCTTCTCTGGCAACGCGCTCGCGGACGGCTTCGCGGACGGCAGCATCAATAGCGCACAGGCGCCGGGGGCGGAGGCGCGCAGGCTTGGCTGAGCAGAAAGGATCGCGCCCTTGACCCGTGCCCGCGCGCGCGCCACCCTGGCGGCCGCCATCGCGGTCGAGCCCATGGTTCCCAGCAGAGCAGCGAAGAAGGATGCCCACCTCGCGAAGCAGAGGAGGGAGCAGAGGCTGAAGGGCACTGAGCACGCGATCGGGTTCGACGTGGACAAGACGCACTTCCGCTGCAGTCGCTGCGGCGCGAGGGCGCCCATCGCGGGGGCCGGCGCGGACAAGCGGCTGGAGGGCGATTGCGCGAAGCTGATGAATATCGGGGCGCCGGAGTTCGGCGCCAAGTCCAGCGGCGCCCAGATCGGGCACCAGGAGTTGCACCCCTCGCGCGACACCCAGCACTGCGACGAGTTGGGATTGCATGTTTGCAGCACGCGCGGGCGCATCGCCAGGGAACGCATGCGGGGCCTGGCGAGCGAGCGCGGAGAGCTGAAGCAGATGGGAAAGTAAAACTCGTCCCGCATCAAGCAGGGGCCCCAGCCGGGCACGAGCAAGATGGCGCTGAGGCGCAACAAGAGGAAGCAGAAGAAGGGGCTCTGAGTGCCGTTTGCGCTGGGCCGACCTGTCGCCAGCCTGGCGGCGCGCTCCGTTTGGGGCCGGGCTGCAAAAGTCGCCGTCGTCGTCGCCCCCCCCACCCCGCGTGGCGGGGCAGGGCCCTGGGGCCCATCCCATCTTGGCAGGGGGGGTTCTTGTGACCCCCCGGACCACATCTGGCCTAATCCAGCTTTCGTCGGAAGCCGGGCAAGGGCTGCTAAATCCGTGGCTGCTAAAATCGACCTCCAGGAAGTTGTCTTCGCCCTTCCAGGAAGCCCGTTGACTGTTTCGCGTGCCGCGCCTCATTCCGGGAAATGGTTTTTGTTTCATTCCGGGAGGTCCGTCTTAGCAGCCCCGGTTTTAGCAGCCCTCGCCCAGCTTCCATTATGAGCGGGAAGACTCTGCGAAGCCCACTTAGTTTGGATTCTCATCCCCGCTTGAGCAAGTTGGGGCATCTTTTCATGCATTATCTAGGTTCGGCCAGACATAACCCGCCATAGCATCCGCTTCTAAGCCCCATATCATCTCCTGAGCGAGCACCGCGGTCACCTCAGTGGGCCTGCCAGACTGTGTTAAGAGAATGTCGAGGTGTGCGCGACATGTTCTTGGAGCGGTTCTGGCTAGGGCAGCGCTTTTGCAGCGCCGCGCCATCATCGAAGACGCCCGCGGCGAATCGCGGCCGCCCCCTGCCTTTTTGAAACGCGCCTCTGCGGCTCAACGTTTGGGCCCAGAGCTTGAGCAAATTATCGGGCCAGGTGCTCCCCGAGCCGCCGCGGCAGCCGCCGGGGAGGCGCGCGGGCGAAGAGGAGGGCGAGCAGAGGGAGGGAAAAGGAGGAGGACGAGGAGAAGGGCGAGGCGATATCTTGGAAGCCTCTCGCGTCATTCCCGTTGCCCCTGAAGGCCCTCGAAGGACTGCCTCGCCCTGGACACGAGGGAATTGTGTCCCGTGGACGCAGCAGCAATTCCCCACGGGGGCGCGCGGCGCAAGCCCTGGGGGGAGCGGGCGCATCAGGCCGAGTTCAAGAGCCTCAGTCAGGCCCAATGTTTGGCCCCGCCGGCCTCGCAGCTGAAAGCGCGGGGCTTCCCTATGCACGAGAAGAACGTGGCGGAGAAGGTGCCCATCGGCGGCAGCTAAACCATGCGCAGGCTGCGCGAGTGCAACATTGCCCCGACAGATATCTGCGCGGGCTGCGGTCTGGGCGCAGGCGCATCGCATCGCAGGCCGTCTGCGCGCAACGCGCCCCGGAAACAGGGGTTGCAGGCGCTGGCGGGCCTGGCAGCGCGTGGCCGAGCAGCAGGTGGACAGCCTACTGCGGAAGAGAGGGCTTGCAAGATGCCCCGAGTCCAGTTGGCGATTCGTCAGCATCTGGGACGATTAGTGCCATGGCGAGGTGAAGGAGGGTGATGACACCATCCTCACTTGTGACATAGCGTGGGACGGCTCGAAACTGCGCTACAGCGAGTGGGCGCAGACAGGCTGGGCAGCTATGTCCCTCGCGGCCAACGGCGATGCGAAGGCGCAGCTCTGGGGTCCCGGCCATTTCCGCTTCCAGTGCGAAGGAAGGCCAAGCGCGCGGAGATGTGGGCCCTCCTGATAGTGCTGGAGAATGCTCTTCCGCCCTGCCATATCTACCCGGGCCACGAGGGCATCGTAGACGGGCTAACAGGGGGGCGAGCGGGATGACAGCGCGTCGGGCAATGCAGAACAACGGCCGGTGGCACCAGAAGATGGGCGGAGAGTGGCCAGACGCCCCGTGCGCGAGCTCGGGCAACCACGGAGGAAGATCGCGAAGTCGAAGCTAGCGGTGACGAAGGGCACGTGAATGGTGCGCGAGAAGTGCGGCAAGAGGGCGGCATCAAGTCGCATGCGACTGCCGGCCACCGCTGCGGAAGTCCGCGGGTGCCAGAAGCACGGGGGCCCCAAGGTCCTCGGAGGCTTGCGCGGCGCTTGCAGCGGCAACGGCAGTTGCGTCAGGTGGGCGGCCAGGTTGAGAGCGACGTGGGCCCGACGGAGCCCAACAACCTGAACTGCTCGAGCATCGCGTGGAGGTGCATGGGCCGCGCGTTGTTTGTGCGACGTGCGGTGCTCACGCGGCGTCGAGAAGGGCGGGGATCAGCGCCGCGCGCGTTGGGCCCTTGGAGAAGAAAGGTAAGTCCAGCAATGATGGCGCCGAATGGAAGAAGAGGGGCCGCATCCTGGCGGCCAAACACCCTCGCACAGGCGAGCCGCTCGATCGGGTCCAAGTTCTGCCAGTTCAACGTGGCTGGGCGCTGGATGGTGCTGAACGCCGTCGAGCCACGGGGGTGGGTTGCGCAGGCCTGAGTTTAGGCCGCTTAGGAAGCGGCAGTCGGGCCTCTCGGCGGGATCCGTTGGGGCCCTGGGCGGGGGGGAGTGGGTGGCTCTTGGGTGCGTTGGGGGGGTTCTTACGGCTCCGTTTTGCCGTCTCGCGCCGGTCCTGGCCAGTCTGACACCGTCGGGAGCCATGTTGGGAGCCTTTTTCTGGTCCATCTCGGGGCCCTCTTGGCGCGCGTCAGAATGGTTTTGGCAGTTTTTTGGGGCGCGTTGGAGGCCTCTTGGGCCGTTTTGGGGCCCTTTGGGGGGCCGTCGTGAAACCGTCTTGGGCCGTCTTGGGGCCATATTGGAGGAATGTTGGGTGATCGTGGGGCAATGTTGGGGGGATTATTTGTGTCGTTTTGGACTGTCGGAGGGCCGCTGTGAAGCAAATGCGAAATTCCGTCAACAGCCGATGAGGGTACAATAATTTGGGCTTCTCCAGGCCTTCCTGAAAGACCTCTTGGAGGCTGTTGGGCCGGCCTGGAGGCTTTCTGGGGGCCTCCTGGCGTGTGCATTTTGGTCCATCTTGGGGTCTTTGGCAGTTTTGGAGGCATCATGGAGGCCATCTTGAACCATAGGGGCCGTCGTGGAAGCAATTCGACCCACAAGAGATGATTTTCCGGCGGTTTTACTTTGTGTTGAACCAACATCGGCGGCGGATCGAATGGTTCTGTACGTTGGAGGCCTTTGGGAAGCTGTGGGGATCTCGTTGGAAACCTTTTCGGTGGCCTCTTGGATTCGGTTTTGTCTACCTTGGGGGCCTATTGGAGGTTTCTTGGTGGCCTCTTGCGGCCTGCTTTGGGCAGTTTGGAGGCCTCCTGGAAGTGATGGGGGGCCTCTGAACTTCAGTTCGTGCTCCCCCACTGGAGCCTCTCTTGGGCCTCTCTTGGGACCCTGATTGGCTGTCTTGGGGGCCAGACCGTCTTCGGGCCATTTTGGGCCAGCTGGGGGCGCTCGTGCGGGCCTTTTGGGCCGCTTCGGGGCGATACTGGGGGCCCTTTAGGCCGTCTTGGAGCGTGGAAAACCCGAAAAGGCGAGCACACCCAAATCTTCATAGCCAACAAACTTCAGGACATTTCGGGGCCCTCTTGTGGGGCCTCTGGGAGGCCTCTTGAGGCATCATTGATGCGTCTGGGGCCGTCCGCAGGGCATCGTAGCCAGTCTTAGGGGTTTCTGGGGCCGTCTCGGGGCGCCCTTGGGCCATCTTGGTCGCTTCTGACGAAGGCTTTGGTTCGGTGCGGGTCTATTTGGACGGGGTCACCGCCCAGGTGGCCCGCGCGAAACACTCTGGTCACACCGGGGCCCTTCAGATAGATTCCCAAAAGCCTTGGACCGCACGAGCCTGGAGGCGTTCTACGACGCACTGAAAGCACGGTGGCGGATGTTCTTCGGATTTTGGTATGTTATACGAAGGCTCTTCTGTTCTAAACGCATGTCGTGGCAGGCCTAGAAGAGTGCCGCGACGGTCGGTCTCTCCTAAACCGTCGTAAACAAAATCACGATGCACGGTTTCTTGCTACCTGCGGCCTTTCTTGGGCCCTGGCCCTCGCTGGGCCCCGGGAGCGTCAACAGAACGGGTCGGGATGGAAAACGTGTCCTTGGGAATGCTTCGAGCGACACATTGGGGTCCGCGTTGTGAGAAAGTCTTGATGTCGGGTGCTTGCGGGGTGACAATTATTTTCGGCGGTTCATATATGGGGCCATGGGTGATGGAGGCTCCTCCACCTCTTCATTCATCATCTCTCCTCATCCACCCATCCACGCACCACCTCTCTACTCCGTTCGACGGGGTCCCGCGGAGCCGCCGATCTCCAAGCTGCTGCCGAGCCCGGCAGGCGCGCAGCTTTGGATGGCGAGGAGGGTGGGGGAGGAGCGGGGGCGAGGATCAGGCAGGACGAAACGAGGTGGAAGGTGGTGGAAGGAGGAGGAGGAGGCGGAGGAGGAGGAGGAGGAGGACGAGGAGGGGGAGGACGAGGAGGAGGAGGAGGACCCATACTTCCTCTCGCTGTGGGAAACAACGCCACGGAGGGTGCTTGCAAACTGTCGGCCTCCAGGGGCACTCGCCTGGCCCAGGGACCCTCAAACGACGACTCGGGACGAGAAGCTGGTCCCGGAGGAGCAGTCCAAGCCTCTGGGGAGCTGCGCTGTGAAAAAAAGCAACGGAGGATGTCTGAGAAAGGAGCAGGAGGAGAAATTTTGAGGAGCGGGGGGCGAGGGGAGGGCGCAAGGGAGGCAGAGGAGAGGACGCGCGGAAGCGGAGGAGGGGGAAACGAGGGAGGAGGAGGAGGAGGAGGAGGAGGAGGAGGACGAGTAGGAAGACGGCGACGAGGAGGAGGGAGGAGGAGGAGAAGAAGAAGAAGAAGAAGAAAACACGGGAGGAGGAAGAGGAGAAGGAAGAGGAGGAGGAGGAGGAGGAGGAGGGGGAGGGAGGATGGAGGGAGGAGGAGGAGGACGAGGACGAGGAGGACGAGGACTGGGTCGGGCGACAAGGGGGGTGGGGAGCTTGGGAAAATGCGGGGGGGGGGAGGCACACAGAGTTTTTTGCGAGTAGCTGGTCTCGGCCCTGCCGCCAGGCCCTCTCCTCGACACATTGGCGCATCTTGGGCTGGGATGAGCTGTGAAGACCACTTGCGTGAGCTGCTTCGGTGCTCCCTTTTTGCTTTCCCCCACTTCTGGTCGACCCGAGGCGGGGAGGGGCGGGGAGGGGGAGGAGGCTGAGGATAGGGACGGGCAGGATTTGGAGGGGCAGGTACGAGCAGGAGGGTGAGGAAGTGGCTTACGCCATTCCGCCGACGGCCTCTCGGGGCCTCTTGGAGGGCCCCCAGGGGCCTTTGGGGGGCTCGAAGGGCCATCTCGGTGGGAAAGGCTCCAAAATGTCAACTCGAATGCCCCATCTTGGACTTTCTTGGAGCCCTCTTGGGGCCCTCCAGGGGCTGTCTTGGGCCGCCTTGGGGGGGTCTCTTGGTCTGTCTTTGGGCCCTCTCGGGCCGTCTTGGGGCCTTGTTGTTCACATCATTGGCCGTCTTGGGACGATGTTGGGAGCCACTTGGGCCGTCGTTTTCGCTGTCAAAACGTTGAATGCGAATTTGCTGAAAATATGCATTTTTTCCTCGTAGGGAGTGAAATGATTTTGGCCTGTTGAGGCCCTCTCGGTAATCCTCTGGAGGCGCTTTCCGAACGTCTTGGGGGCCTCACGGGCCATCTTGAAGCCATCTTGGCTCGTCGTGGGGCTGGCCTTGGTCGTCATGATTCTCTTCGACTGCCTTGGCGCTCTGTCTGGGCCCTGTTGAGCCGTCTTTGGGCTCTTCGGGGGCTCCGGAGGCCCCGGGGGTGCGGTGGCGAGCTCGGCCCCCCCCCCCTCACTCCCCCCTCTGGTCGGGCTCTGGACCCTGGGGGAGGAGTACCAGGGGGGGAGGGGGGCAGCTAAGTGTCTCACACGCCTTGTCGCCCCCCGGTAAGCGGGGGTAGGCGGCTTCTCCCTCCTTCACCGTCCTGCCCTCCTCGAGGGATCGCGGATAGAGGGGGTCGCGGGGAGGACGGCGGAGGCATGCTGCGGGAGGGGGGAGGGAGTGGAGGGGAGGCGTCAGGGGACTCATCGGGGGGCAGGAGAGAAAGCGTCTCTGACTCAGCGGCGACCTCGGTTCCGTGACGTATGGGTTGCCGTCGTCGGCGCGAGGGATGCGACGTTTGATTCCCCTGGACGGCAAATGCGAGCGTTTCCCAACCCTCCTGTGGTGTTGGGTCTTCGGTTTTGAGAGAGCGCCCCGTGTCTCTCCTTCTCCCCCCTCCTCCCCCTCCTTCTCTCTGCCCTCCGCATGGCAATTTCGGCACACCCCTCACACGCTTCGTGGCCCCATAGGGAGCTCCACCGAAGACCCCAATGAAAAATATCTACATGCGGTTCCCTGTCCATTTCGGCACATGGCCTGACACTTTCTCAAGGCGCCATAGGGAGCTCCACTGAAGGCCCCAGCGGCAGCGTCCACATGCGATTAGCCGCTCATGTCGGCACACCCCTCACACGTTTCGCGGTCCCGTTGGAGCTCCACCGAAGAACCCAGTGCCAGTGCCCACATGCGTTTCCCCGCCCAAGACGTCCCACCCCAATGCACTTCGAGGCCCCACGAGGAGCTCCACCTGAGGCCCCTGTGTCCCCATGCGGTGCCCCGCCCATGCTGGCACCCCCCTCAAATTCTTCGCGCACCGAAGGCCCCAGTTAGGGGGCCACATGCGAACCCTACCCCTACCCCCCACGATTTCTGAGGGGGAGGGTGGGGTTCACTTCGCTCGGGAGCCCCCCTGATGCTGGCACCCCCCTCAAATTCTTCGCGCACCGCAGGCCCCAGCGGCAGTGCCCACGAGCGGCTCCCCGCCCACTGCGGCACGCCCCATCGCACGCTGCGCGGCCTCCCTCCGAGGCAGCTCCACCGACGGCCCCCGTGGCAGTGTCCGCACGCGGTTCCCCGACCGTTCCGGCAGGCCCTTTGGCGCGCCTCGTGGCCCCACGGGGCAGCGCCACCGAGGGCCCCGGTGGCCGTCCTCGCACGGAGCTCTCCGCCGATCTCGGGGCACGCCCCCGACGGCCCCGCGTGCTGCCCCCCCGCCCCTGTCGCGCTTCGTGGCCCCATCGGGGAGCTCCACCGAAGGCCCCCGTGGCAGGGTTCGCAGGCGGCTCCCCTCAAATTCCGGCACACCCATCACATGCTTCATGGCCCCGATGGGGTGCGCCACCGATGACGATCCTCAGAGCTGCGGCTGCATATGGTTGTGCGCGTCGCCGGGATGATGTCAGAAAGGCAAGGGGCAAGGGCATCCGATGTGTCCATGAGTCAGATAACGTATGTTTAACAGATAACGTATATACGCATGCTATGCAGTAAACACAGATGTTACGCTCATGCTCCCCATACCTTACATAGGTGCAATCAGTCTGTCAAGTGAATTCGAGTGGACTTGAGTGCATACTTGCGCGGATCAATGTTGTATTGTCGCGTAGTGTTTTTCTTTGCATTGCACCGATATACAACTTGGTTCTACTGACTTGGGTTGCTCTGGAATCACCTGTGTCCACAGTGGCACCTGAGTCCCCGTTGACGGAGCTGCGGGCCGTCTACCAGACATTGACTCAGAACGAACGGTCCCGTTCCCAGGGGAGGGGTCCGATGGAACTCGAAGACCCGCGATTGGCTTGGCATCGCTCGGACGTGTGCATTCTTCCTTCGGCGAGGACCATCGAGGAACATCCTTGATCATTTGGCGAAGACGCCACGCACGAAACCGAAAAGCACAGGCAATGGACGTCCGAGCGATGGCCAGATGGGGGAACACCAAGACAGCTCGGGGGAGGGCCAGCGGCGTCGCCGGCCCGAGGTGCCCCCCCAGGATCTCTGGGAGGGAGCCCCCACGGCCTGGGCCTCGAGGGCTCTCCAGCAGGGCGCGAGAAGTTGGGGGGCACCTCTCTCGAGTAGGGGATCGGCTACAGAACTGATGTTCTCCATCGAATCTACGACGACTACGTGAAATTGTCGCACATCTACTGGGAATTCCAGGCATTTGTCCGTAGATTCTCGACGAAAGCATCAATTTCGGGGTAGATCAGTTCTGTAGTCGATCCCCTGCTCGAACCTCAGGGGCCAGGGACACCTTCTTGGCGGCACCCGAACACCGGAGGTACTGATTCGGGTATGGGGGCAGGAGGGAGAGGACGGCAGAGCCAGGAGCTCGCTGCGCGCCAGGGGCAAGGGCAACAAACAAGTGCGGCCCCCAGAGCTGATGGGCGAGTGTGGGAACGGCCAGGTCCAGGTTGTCGACGCAGCCGGCAAAGTCCTAGGAGACGCGGGCACGGCCCTTTCCGCGGGAGAGGGCGGGAGAGTCAAGCAGTGGCGAAGCGTCCTGGCTCGCCTTTAGCCCTACCAAACAATGTTCTAAGAACCGATTGTGGTTCCCATGACATGTTCTTAGAACATTTCTGGCTGGGCGCGTCCTGTTTTAACCCATCAGGTTAATGTTCTAAGAATCTTGTTGTTGTTCTAAGATCATTTTGTCGTGGTAAAACTACATGTCGTGGTAAGACTATACGACTGCCGGGATGGTCGGTCCCTGCTCAAGAGAGGACCGAGAAGTCCCTGGCGGTTTGGGCAGGTCGCGTTCCCGCGGTCTCATTCCATGTCCTCCTCTTTCCTCAGGGGCCGCCGAGGTCGCAAGGGGCTGCAGGACGAGGATAAGTCCGTTCCCGAGCGTACTGGAATGCTCCTGGAGCGTTCCGGACGGCTCTGAAAAGGCCGCGGCGCTTTTGACATCTTCCAGAACCGCCAGATAGCAGAGATTCCCGATTTATTTTAGGCCTTCCAGATGGGGTCAGAGTAGATGGGGTCGGAGGATTCGCGCCGCATCGGCTCGATGCGGAGTCCGATTTTCTCCACGGCGACGTCGGCGATGCACCGCTGACGTCGCCGCTGCATCGTGGATGTATCGAGGATGCGTCGGAGATGCAACGCGATCCTCCGACCCATCTATCGGACCCCACGTGGGCGGCCTCTGTCTCTCCTCGTCAGGATGTGTCCCTCGTCCAGCTTCCTCTCACGAGTGCGTCCCGGCCCGAGGATGCTCCGAGCTCCTTGCGCCGTCCTGGGGCCCCTCGGGGCCTGCCGGGCCTCGTGGAGGGCTTAACGGGAGCCACTGGGGCCTCTCGACGAGCTGGGACCACCCTTGGGGGTTCGGGCCACCTAGATCCCCACGGGTCGTGAACAAATCACGACGGGAGGTGCTTCTTTTTTTCTTTTGCCTCTGGGGGCCCCTACCGGGCCTCGGGACTGTCAAAACACGATTCAGGATGAAACACCAGTCATGGGGAATGGGTCGAGACCGTTGGGGGTCGACGTCATGAACAAATCATGACGTCGAGGTCTCGGTTCGGCGGCACCAGACTCCTCCCCCTTTTCCACCACGTCCCCCCTTTGCTACCCCTCCTCCTCATCAGGATGCAACCCCTGGTAGATAGATAGATAATTAGATATTTATAGGTATACATACGTCTAGATGTATAGATATATCGATATATCGGTAGATATATAGACTCAGCATCGGCGTTAGTACATCCGTGGTCGAAAGAGACCTAATCTTGGCGAGCTCCGATGAAGTATCTAATCCGGCTTACCCTTGGGTTTCACATGGGCTAATCCGGCTCAGGGGCCCCCGAATCGGGTCTACTGACCCTTACCGTTCTTACGACGACCTCCCAGAAGTACTTTCCTGATCTTCAGTCCCCCCTCCTCTTCATCCGCCTCCCCCTCCTCCCCCCTTTTCACCAGCCTCCCCCTCCTCTCCCTCGACCTTTTCCCTCCTTCTCTTCCTTCCTGCCTCGCGGGGGGGGGCTGGTCCTTCGGGTCTTCCTCGATGCGCTGGCGCCTCGGGCGCCAGAAAGCGCCCAGAGGGGGTGCGGGGAGGAGGGTTCAAACGCCGATTCAAGAAATCTGGTTGGACCTCCAAGAGCTTACGTTTTGATTGCTAAGTTTTGTTACTGCATTCATCTTCAAGCACTCGCACGTTGAGCGCTGCGGCCCACTCCGCCCATCCCTCCAAGACGGCTCCAGGGCGCTCCGAGACGGCCCATTGAGATTCCCGCAAGTCGGCCTCCGAAGGCGTCAGGGATGGGCGGAGCCCGGCCAATGACCGTCTCGTCCACTTGGCAGCTGCTTGCCTCGAATGCAGCCGGTCGGTCAGCTCCCTCGTTCGCATCGGTCTGGACAGCGGGGAGGCCCTTCGCGGCTGCACGGTCTGGGTAGACGGGGGTCGCGGCCTTACAGTTTTTGCCTTGCAGGCCGTTCTGGGGGGGGGTATTTTGAACAACATACAGTTGTCGACCGCTAAAGGTTCCGCTGTGTACCTCCTGACGGTCGCATGTTAAGATGCCAACGGTTATTTTCGGACTAGGCTTCGCGCGGGATAGGGGGTACATAACGTCCCACTTGTGATGCCTGCTGTTTTGTCAGGCGTTCCCTGACTATCAGGAGGGCGCTGCCCTCGATCTCGGTCACATTGGGGCCAGCGCAGGACGATGCACACTCGCCACCAGCGTCGCACCATGTAGCAGCTATCAGTTACGTGTAACATTTGGTGGTCCCGATGTGATCTCGAGGCGGCCGAGCACCGCCGTCACAGCACCACGGTCGATCGTTTGCGCCTCGCCACCCAGAGCACATCTCCGCCCGCGAAGACGTTTCGCTTGTGGGGGCAGCTGGTGAGGGAGCAGGGAAGGACGGAGGAAAAGGAGGGACAGACCGGGCAGCAGGCGAGGCGGGAGGAGGAGGAGGAGGAGGAGAATGGAGGGGACAGATGGTTCAATCAAGCCGATCCCATCGGCCCAGTTCGATCTCGGCTCCCCTCACGACCGCGGGGCTGCTGGGCGCGGGGCCCGCGGCAGCACAATCAAAGGGCTCGGCTCCCAGTGCGCCGTATCGGCAGCAACGGCCCCAGGCGCGCCCGCGGCGGTTGACGGCGCGGAAGACGCCCGGCTGACGACGACTGCGACGAGGACGACGATCACGACCACGACCACGGCCACGACAACGACCAACTCTTCCACCACGACCACAACAACGAGAACGGCAACGGCAACGACAACGATGCCTCCTCAGATCTTGACAACCCCTCTGAATCTCGAAGGAGGATTAGATGTCGGAAAGAGCGCGTTCTGTGGTCGCTTGGAGGGCGGGGGGTGTTGGAACCGGACCCCCCCACCCCCATGGATGGAGGGGGGGGGTGCGACCCCCCCCTCCCTCCCGTGACGGAGGGGGCGGGGGGTTTTCGAACCCCCCCCTTCTTCCCTCCTTGCTTCCCCTCTCCTCTGGCCGGCGCTTGCGGCGGCTGGCGGCCGCGGCGGGGACGACGATTTCGTTTTCTGGGTCAGCGCCGGCGCCTGCGGCGGCGGGCGGCGGCGGCGGGGAGCGTCGACGAGGACGACAGTGGTGGTGGCGGTGATGGGTTGTGGTGGTGGTGGCGGTGGTGGTGGTTGTGGTGGTGGTGTGGTGGTGGTGGTTGTGGTGGTGGTTGTGGTGGTGGGTGGTGGTGGTGGGTGGTGGTGGTGTGGTGGTGGTGTGGTGGTGGTTTGTGGTGGTGATGGTGGCGGTGGGTTGTGGTGGTAGTGGTGGGTTTTTGTGGTGGTGTGGTGGTGGTGGTGGTGGGTTGTGGTGGTGGCGGTGGTTCGTGGAGGTGGTGCTGGTGGTGGTGGTGGCGGTGGTGGTGGTGGTGGTGGTGTGGTGGTTTGTGGTGGTGGTGGTGGTGGTGGTGGTGGTGGTGGTGGGTTGTGCTGCTGGTAGTGGTGGTGGTGGTGGCGGTGGAAGTGGTGGTGTGGTAGGATGTGGTGGTGGTGGGTATTTCTGGTGGTGGTGGAGGTGATGGTGAGTTGTGGTGGTGGTGGTTGTGGTGGTGGTTTGTGGTCGTGGTGGTGGTTGTGGGTTCTGGTGGTGGCGGTGGTTCGTGGACGTGGTGCTGGTGGTGGAATTGGTGGTGGCGGTGGTGGTGGCGGTATGGTGGTTTGTGGTGGTGGCGGTGGGTCGTGCTGCTAGTAGTGGTGATGGTTGTGGCGGTGGCGGTGGTGGTGTGGTAGATGGTGGTGGTGGTGGTGGTAGTGGTGGTGGGTTTTTGTGGTGGTGGTGGTGGCGATGGTGGTAGTGGTGGTTATGGTGGTGGTGGTGGTGGTTGTGTGGTGGGTTGGTGGTGGTGGTGGTGGTGGTGGTGGTGAGGCGGTGGTGGTGGTGGTAGTGGTGGTGGTGGTGGTAGTGGTGGTAATCGTCGCTGCGTCCCCGCCGTCGCCGGCGCCAGCGCCGGCGCTGCTGGCCGCCGCCAGCGCCGGCGCCACGCCAGGGGAGGGGGTTTGAACCCCCCCTCCCAGGCGCCAATTGGGGGGGGGATTGGACCCCCCCCTTTCTCCCCACCTCCCTTGGGCTGCCTCTGGTCATCGTCGCTGCGTCCCCGCCGTCGGCGCTGCTGGCAGCCGCCAGCGCCGGCGCCGGCGCCGGGCGGGGAGGGGGTTCGGGAGGGGCGGGGTTTGGGGGGTGGAATCCCCTTGGTTTTGATCGACGGCGCCGAGTGTTGGGGGGGGCCCACCCCCTAGTTCGAAACGAGCCGCCGAATGTTCCCAAGGCAAGCGCCCGTGAAACGCGTTCTCTCAGATGTCGAGACGTCTGCTCCCTGGGAGAGGTCTGGGGAGCAGCGGTGCTTGGCACTCTTTCTTTCTGTCCACCACCTTCCAAACCACCCCAACCGAACCCGAAGGCCCAAATTAACTTTCGATTTCCATTGGGGGGTAGGATAACATAAAAACAATTCATGTGGAACCCGTACCCCCTTCGTCTCCGGGTTAGGTTGGGGTGGTCTGGTATGTAGTCATTTGCCCCCCCGAGGTCGTGGCGGCAGTTTTTGCTGCTATGCCTTCGCCCTCTGAGGGGGCCGTCTCCCAGCCGCGGGGCCGGCAAGAGGTTACTCGGGACAGCGAGTGGGCCCCAGGAAGGTATGGTCGGTCGATCCTTGGGGGCCCCAGAAGTCCACTGATATTTGTTGTGTTGCAGTCCGCGGCCCCGGAGCTCCCGACCCTTTCCCT